CTGCTGGGTGCCACAGCACGCCACTTGCGTCATCCGTGCGACTACAGCAGCCCCAACTGTTGGCTCCGGTGCCCTATCAGTTTTGTACCAACTTTACATGGAGCTAGGAAGACACTTCATGAAGTTGCATATGCACTTGCATGCCCTGTCTGAAGGCCATGTCGGCCAGGTGCCGAGGGCTGGGGCCGCCCGCGCGACGTGTCATGTCGCGGCACAGTGCCTCGTATGCCAATTTGCGCTCGTCCCACAGCCAAGGCCTGGGCCCAAATCAGCGCTGCCCACGGTGATGACCGGTTGGCATCGGCGAGCAAGTCGCTTGCTGGAGGTTTCCCATCCGGTTGCCGCTTGCCGGTTCCGGCAGAGCAAGTGGGCCGCAAAAACACGCGAAGCGGCGAACGACAGCCGTCAAGCAGCAGCGCGCTATCGAGAAAGCAAGTCGAAGACAGTCGAAGCTGGCTGCTGCAGAATTCCATCTGTACCACCAAATCACCAAGCTAGATCGCGAGGGGCAGCTGGAGGCGACGCTCTGATCTGTCACAGTTTGTAAAGTCACCTGCGGTTGAACCCCGCAAAGCAATCCATGCAACGTTCTGTGTCCAACCACGCATGGCCCAGGGAGCAAGACAAAAGCAGGATAAGAAGAATTCCAGCATTCCAAAATCTGTGCTAGAGCCATTGGGCGTCGCCATTTGTTCAGACGAAAACATGCTCCGCAAACAAAAGTTGCATTATCCAGATCCTGCCGTGCGAATTGCCCGGCCGAAAGGCTTACCAACCGGCCTGCCTTCTGCGCGATCAAAGCTGAGAAACAGTATAGGTAAACAGTCTTCGAGATGTATCAATGACGAGATGTCTCGTCAACAGCTATCCCTCCAGGCCCCGATCTCGTCTGAAGGGTGCTGCCGCGTACGCACGCACGATGGGATCGCGAATGGGCATGGACAACTGGGCATCGTGCCGTGGTTTTCCTGCGATCGGTGAGGTGAGGCTGCAGGGCATGACTTCGGGACTGTCACGGCGATCGTAAACATGCGTGTAGACACTTTAGCCTTTTTAATTTAAGCAGTATCATGACAAGATATGACAAGTAGCTCTCGTTCATGCGGATGGAACACCTCTCAGAACAAGAACGTGGCGGAGAAGGTCACAAAGCGAGCGGGGTGCACGATGACAGCTAGCGAGCTGCTCTTGCACACAGGTTTTGAACCCTTCAGGCACGTCTGATGCTGGAGTCATGTTGCCATAATCATACTGATCGCGAAAAGCGTCTGCAACCAGCAGCGCGTTGTCGTTGGCAGGCTTCTCACACCGAGCAAGATCGCACAATGGTCGGCACGCCTGGGACTGCGTGCCCAGCAATGCCTAACGTTGTCGATGTAAAAGCGTGATCAGCGTTGATGGGCTTCTGAAGCGGCTTTAGTCTGCTGACCGCCACAAGGTTTCCGGTAAAGGGAAGCTTCGATTTGCGCTGTGATGGATCAACTGCAGATTCGCAACAAATCAGTTCGAAGCGTCTGCGCCGGGACGGCATCGGATCAAAACGGCTTACAGTACCACAGCAGCTCGCCACAAATCTGGCGGATAGTGGGCGATACCCACCGGTCGTTTCTTGGCAAACTTGCGTGATCGAAGCGGGGGCGAGGAAGCAACGTTCGTGGATGACAGGGCGAGGAAGTGGTTCAGGAAACGCATTGGTTTGACGCACTTGCAAACCTCGCTGCCGACGTCGCTGGAGTTGCGCGGCGGGCCCTGATGACGAGTCCGGGACTCATTTCTGAATAGGGACCATGCTACAAGGCCCTTCGGTCTGGCACTCGCGATCCGGCACGAAGCTATCCAAGGCCCACAGAAACTTGCAGCTTGCCGGGGCTGTGCGTCCTGAAGAAACGAGCGTCCGATGCGCCAAGAAACTCCGGAGTGCTACGCCCACACGTCGGATTGCCGTTAAGGTCTCTTGCGTCATGAGAACTTCGGCCGCATGAATACAGTAGCGATGCCTGAACTCACAATCCTGCTGCTTGGGCGCCAGATGTCCAGTCCTGCTTATTTGCAACACGCTCCAAGCCACGCGACAACTCTCTCTCTGGGCCCAACAAAGAAGTGACGAAAACGAGCTGTGTGCAATGCTTCATGCCTGCAGGCATGCCGCACTTGCAGGTTCATGTCCGCATATCAAGTTGAGGGAAATGCTTTGAATGTTCCTGTGCATGTATGTGCATTATATTATGTATATATATATATATATATATATATATATGCTCACCCCCCCCCCCGTTGACAGACCATGCCCTTGTGATAGTGTACTCTCGTTCGGTGACTAGGCTGAGATATTGCATCTAAACACACCACACATGATGACAATCTGTAAAGCAAATCCTTTACAGTACATATACCAAGTATACTTTTAACATGCCATGTACTGAGGACGCATGGACCAGATGCGCGACACGTGAGTTATGAGTTTGTGGTAGCATTGATATAGGATGAGTATGAGTATTAATATTGGTATTAGTATTGGTATCAGCAATAGTATTAGTGTTTACTGTAAGTATGTATATATATATATGTATATATCGACAGTAGTAAGTATACATTAATGTTAGTGCTCATCTTCGTTTTAGTCTTAGTGTTAGTGCCAGTGTCAATGCCAGTAATAGTACCACTGCTAGTATTAGTATCAGTCTTCATGCTGGGTTTAGTATCAGTTAATAATGGCAGAGGTGCTAGTATTGGTATCAAAATTAGAATTAGTTTCGATATGTTACTATTCTGATAGTTTCGTATATCAGCAGGTTAGTATATCAACACATTGATGTGTTCGAGAGGCAACATTTGTATACTTGCATATTCGTAGATTTAATACTTTAGTACAACTGATGCATGAGTAAACTAGTATATTGCTGTATTAATATATTAGTATATTAACATACCACTATATTCGTACATTAGTGTATTAGTATGCTAGTATATGCAATATACGTGTATTGTCTAAAGATTTATAAGTGTATCAGTATGTTGTCATATTCGTACACTAACCTGCCACGTCGGTATACTTGCATATTACAGTAGTCGCATACTAGTATAGTAGCATACTAGTATAATAGCATACTAGTATAGTATATTCACACATTAACAAGTAGTGTATTGTTACATTTGTATATGGGTATATGCTTGTCCTAAAACATCAGTACATGAATGCATTGATACATATCGGGATTTTAAGTTAATGGTATGTGTTGTGGTGTGCATTAGCATATGCACGTGTCTTTTGTAATGGTATTAGTCTTCACATCAATATGAATATGACTATTGGTATTCGTAGGAGTATTAATGTTAATATTCGTATTAGGATTATCCATAGTCGCATTAGCCTTAGTATAAGTGTTAATAATGGTATTAATACTGGCATTATCTTGAATATTCAGCAAGTTATCAATGTCAGTATTAGTATTGGTGACAGCATTACTGTTAACAGCATAAGAGTTTTTTAGCAATAGTTTCCGTAGGAGTATCAATACTTATGTAAATCTTGGTGTTGGTATAAACAGTGTGATTGGTATTAGTAATAGTGCTAGTGCGAGTGCTAATATTAAAATGAGGTTATGTATTCGCATGAACGTTTGTCTTATATTAGTATTACTCCTGATTACATGAAAATACTAACAGATAAATACATGCATGAGCTAATGTATTTGTACTTTAATATGGTGGTATGTGTATTTATGTACATTGGTATATGCAGGTGTGTATTAGTATTGGACTCAAAATACACTACTACCAATATGGGCATAATTATTGATATGCGTAGGAGTATGAACGTCAGTATTAATCATTATTAGTATTTGTTATTTGTATGGTGCCTTTTCGTATTGGCTTAAAAAAGTGTAAATATTAGTGTTAATGCTGGTATTAGCTTGGGCAGTCAGCAAATGATCAATGTCAGAATGAGTATTGGTAATAGTATTCGTAGGAGTACCAATTTAGAAAAATAGATAAACACTGACAATCGTCTAAACAGACCTTGCCTTTGCAAGTGAGTCGTAGTGCATGGTCTGTCATCCGATGGGTCACAATCAGCCCATTGAAAATCAATTCCAGAAGTTCCAAAATTTCCAAAATCTCCGAAATCTCCGAAATTTCCGAAATTTCCAAAATTTCCAAAATTTCCAAAATTTCCAAAAATTCCAAAAATTCCAAAAATTCCAAAAATTCCAAAATTTCCAAAATCTCCGAAATCTCCGAAATTTCCGAAATTTCCAAAATTTCCAAAAAATTCCAAAAATTCCAAAAATTCCAAAATTTCCGAAATTTCCAAAATTTCCAAAATTTCCAAAATTTCCAAAACGGCCCGACCTAGCCGACAGGATTTTTCCAAAACATAAGGGCGGACTTTTTGGAAATTTTGGAAATTTTTGAAATTATTGAAATTATTGAAATTTCGAAAATTTTGGAAATTTTTGGAAATTTTGGAATTTTTGGAAATTTTGAAATTTTGGAAATCCGGAAAGTTAGGGGAGAGAATTTTGGAAATTTTGGAATTGAATTTTTGAAAGCTGAGTGCCACCTCCCCCCGATCACAGACCATGCGCTACGACTGAGTTGAAAGGGCATGGTCTGTCAACGGGTCTCAGTCTTTTGGTGGTTCCACAGATACGTTCGGAGGGCTCAAACTCGATACCCCGGAAAAAGCACGAACACCCCGGTGGGAGCGATGTTTTGAAGGGGATGGTCTGTCATGGCGGGGGTGACCATATAATATATATATATATATATGTATGTATCTATGTATGTATGTATGTATGTATGTATATATAGATATATGTGTGTGTCCACAACGCTGTTTGGGTCATGCCACGTGCCGAAGGAGCCAAGCATCGTACGATCATACCCAATCATAAAGACATGAGCTTGGGCTTGATCATAAGACTCTAAACCAGAATTTTGGAACAGAGGGGATCGTGCAAATGATGGTGGGGCAGCACCCCTCCCTCCCACCCCGCCTGGTGCCGACGGCCATCCAGCAACTCCAGAGCCACTTGCCAGAGTCGCTGCGGTTCGAGGGCATCTGCCAGGGCTTTGAGGACTGACTCGGAGGGTCGCAATCCGGCGGAAAGTCGCTCTGAGAGGATGCAGAAACAAGCTGCCCAAGGCAGCTTTTGGAAAAGTGTACTGGAAGAAATGTTGTCCGGGGTCAAGAAACACCGACTCATGTCCGAGAAGGACACGAAAGCGGCCTGCCAATCTGCAGCTTTGGTTTGAAACCCCAGTCGGATATTATGACTGGCGACGTCGAGCTCGATATTTAGCTTCTCCGCAGCCCTGAGCAAGCCAAGCGATGTCTTCCAGCGGATCGGATGATCGAACCATTGGCCGCTGGCCGTTCGGAGGCCACTGGACAGGGCGGCAGCTGAGTTCACCACGCTGGAAAAAAACCGCTCACCCGGAAGGCTAGGAAGAAGCAAAGCCTCCGTCAGCAACGTGAGGGCGAGTCTCCAGGACGGCAGGGATGCGATCGTGGCCTGAGCTTCCTAAACCTTTCCAAAACCCCCCAACCGGACACCCCCTGAGATGCGATGCTTCCTATCCTCTCGGCAGCGCTTTTTCGATCAAGGGGTCAAGGAAGGTAACGAGGCCCGCGCGCTGAAGGTGATGCTGTCTGCCAAGCTGGCATCGACAGCATGGCCCAGCCTTGCCAGACACATGTGGGCCTGCCACTAGTACCAAGATGGTTCTGCAGGTTGCCACAAACTCCCCCAAAACAACAGCGATTAAGGGATATGCCGTAAGTTGTATCCTTGATTGCCACCAGGATCTCTCCAGTTGTCTACGGTATATCTAATTCTTGTTCAAGGATTTGGAATCTCTAGGTTTCTGGCACAGCGGAACACACTTCGGGCGAGCGCGTGCTACAAGATCAGCCATCTCTGCTGCGAGCCCTTGGATTCCAATGCAACGTCCTGGAACCATTTCCAGGATTTGCAGCCACCTCTGACATCGGGCTTCCGAGGATCATCCGCATCGAAATCATCGTCATCGTCACAGCCATCACCACCATGCCCCGCCGGCCTCTGAGTTCATGATCGTTCATCCTCACCGCCATCAATGCGACAATGGTCACCACAATCATCGCCGTCATACAATATCATCATCATCATCAACAACATCATCATCATCATCCTCTTGTTCATCATCAAGAAGGTATGGGGTCCGGAGCATGACCCGATTTCAGGCCCTGGCAGGCGTCCCGCGCGGCGCCAGGATGCCCGGCATCCCCCGATGGCCGAGTTGAAGCTGATGGCATCCTTTCGATCGTGACGAAGGCCCAAGCAGCGGTCATCAAAAACAAAGCATCTGGAGCACCTTCTCCAGAAGAAGGATCCGAAAGTCGCCAAGCCTCGGCGGAAGCAGACATGTCTCAAGCCAGCTGTTGCTGTCCTCCACTTCTGGTCATAGTTCTACTAACTGCCAGCATCAGTACCCATACGAGTCTGTTTCCTCCCCTCGTCGTCATCGGAGTCGGCTTGGACTCGGACGGCTTCGCGGGCCGAAGTAAAGGGAACTCCAGAAATTTGGAATATGGTTTCAGGGTAGGATACCTTATAATTTACCATAGAAGGGTTAGGATAATCATATTCCAGCTTCCTGGCTTTTACTGTAAGAAGAAAAGACCAGAGCCGGTGCTTGCTGGCATCGCTCGCAGCGGTACCCGTCTGTTGCTAGAACACAGTTCCACATGACCACTTTGCAGACCCCCTATGCTAGACACTAAGCCCTACACCGCAGTGGATGTGCTGAGGATGGTACCGATGCAAGGCAAGTCTCCATGTCCGAGCTCCGGCAATTGCCTTGTTCGCGGCGACGACATTTCTGGGACGGGCCCCTCCACTCATTCAGAGTTTCGAGTACAAGGTTTGGTCTTAAGCTTTTGCGGCTTTGGACAATCATGTCTGAAATGCAACTTCCTGCTCGAAGAGAGGTGACAAGAGTCAGGGCTTATAAGGACTTGGGGTGTAGGGTGTAGGGCTTCCGACTTCGAGTGCCGAGGCTCTAGAGGAGTTTAGGGGCCTATGGCTTAGAGGGCTTAGGGGGCTTAGAACTTAGGGTTTTGGGTAGGGTTCATGATTACTTCTCTCAGTTCTGAAGTATGCTCTTGAAGTCAGGTTCTGCTTTTCGCAGCTCGTTGAGGCCGGACAGCGCGGTCGAGACGCATGAACGTCAGGACAAATTACCGCTTCATGGCGGTTCCTTGAGCTAAACCCCACAGGCCAAGTTTAAGGCTTCAGGGCTCTAGCGCACTAATATAGGGGCCCCTATATTAGTGGGGTTCCTTTGAAAGGGTCCGTTATTAAGGCCCCTATATTACCGCACTAAACCTTTAACCCTCAGCCCCCATAGGTCCAATCGCTTAAATGTCCAGCTCCTATCGGAGTGTATCGGCTCAGGGTTATGTGTCGTATGACCTTTCAGGATCTCCGGTTGCAGCGCTTTGGGATTCAGAGTTCATGTAGTCCTCGAGGGCGTCTTGAGGCTTTCCAAACCCGCTCTCGGATTTTCCATTTCCGTAAAACACTTACTTTTACGGATGTTCTGAGTTTAGGGTGGTCTAGCTTCGAACCTGATATCTTCCAGTGCCTCATTTTAAATAGTTAGACTAGGGCTTTGGAGTATGTTGCAGCGTAGGAAAGCAAAGTATATGGGGGAGATAAGGGAATACGATTACGAATCACTTATGAAGACCCCTAGACAAACGGACCGACACCCGCACTCACTCCTGAACCGCAAACTCAGGCTCTTAAACTAAATCCAAACCCCTATATATTGGAGGCCTCAAAAGGTGGGAGGAAGGCAGGTAGGGTTTATTGATCCCCTATATAAGGACTCTTATTTGAATTACCCCGCCTACCTTCATCCTACCTTTTGAGGCCCCTGATATATCAACCCTGACATCCCCAAACAGAGTGCACTTAGGGCAAGCAAAAGGGACCTGCAATCGACATTAGGTCTTACGATTGGCCCCATATTCCCTAGACCCTCAAACCGAAGCAGAGGGCCTACGTAGGCCCAGATCCTGCAAGCCAGAAACCGTCGGCCCCAAGCCCCAAAGCCCCAACATGGGAGTTTCCTAAAATTGGGGGGTATCTTATTTTGGGGTCCTTATAATAAGGATCCTCCTATTTTAGGGTGCTGTATTGGGGTCCCCTATTTTCGGAAACTCCCACATCTTTTTCGCCGACGGCGATGCGGCCAGACCAGGGATCTGCCTTGGGGGAAGAAGGCGGCTGGCGTCGGAGTGGGAGGGAGAGCAACCAAGAGGATCTGGGGTAAGGTTTGGATATAGGGGCTAGGCTTCAGGGTTTGGCGTTTAGCCGAGACTCTGAAGTAAATCTCTCAACCACCTCTCCAAGGGCAAAAGGAGGGACCCTTAACAAGGACCCCTAGGTATAGCTACGTATTATATTAGCCCGTTATATAGCCCATTTTAAGGACCCAGGGTTCGCCATTAAGGGTCCCTCCTTTTCCCCTTTGAACCTCGGCTAGAAACCACTGCAGCGCCTGAAAGCCCATAAGCAGTTCTCTCTTCACCCTCACGGCCCTTGGTATATGGGGGTTTCCGAAAATTAGGGGCTCCTTTAAAGGGATCCTTTAAGGGTTCCTTAAAGGGATCTATAAGGGTTCTATAAAGGGTTTAGGGTTTGGGAGTTTCCGAAAAGTAGGGGTACCTTATTTTGGGGTCCTTATAATAAGGGTCCTACTATTGAGGGTACTATATTTTAAGGTCCCCTGTTTTCGGAACTCCCATATCCTAAACCGGATTTACAGGGCTTAGGGTGCAGCCCTCAAAGTCACTTTAGCAGCCGTTGGAAATTTATCTAGCACCAACTGAGCTTGGCCAAGTGCCCGGCGGCGCCGGCATACAGACCGGGGCTCGGAAAAGCGCCAAAGGATCTGCCAGACACCTCAGATTACAAACGAAGTTGACAAGATTATAGACAGGCTTGTAAGAGCATCCAGGGAGGTCAGCAAAAGTGTTGCGACACTTTACGATATTCGATTCGGTTATATCACGATCTTTCAGGATACTTGTCTACTGTCGTATAGAGGATTTCCAAGAGAGTATTGTTACAGTGATACAGTGGTGTCATAATCAGAAACGGGTTGGAATTGGGGTTTCAGGTTTCGGATTTAGGCATTTGGGTTGAGTGCATCCGGGACAGTAAGCTTAACTCCAGGTCCATGCGCTTGTCATACTTGGACAACGTCTCATACTTGACAAAAGTCTTGCCGGCAAAAGGCCAGTCAATACCGGAAGGTTTCGGGTGTGGACCATCTTGGAAAACCCTATTGAAACCCCCAAACACCCAAACCCTTAACAGGTCCCAAACCCTTAACAGGTACTAAACCCTAAACGGCCCTACACCCCAAACCCTCAACCCTCCAACCGCCCCCCCCCCCCCCACACACCAAAACACCAAAACCACCCAAAAGATGTCGGAAAAAAACAGAGCAAGCCCCCAACTCCCCAAACACCCTCCAAAGTGCCCGAGAGACCTTGTGGGAGTTTCCCAACATGAGGGGTACCTTATATGGGGGTCCTTATAGTAAGGATCCTTCTATTTAGGGTACTATACTAGGGTCCCCCTATTCTCGGAAACTCCCTTGTAGCCATCGAAACAAATCAAAAACAACTACCAATCCATCCCTGAACCCTAAACCCTACACCCTGGACCCTAGACCCTAAACCCTGAACCCTAAACCCCGAACCCTAAACCCTAAACCTAAACCCTAAACCCTAAACTCCGGCCAGAACCTCAACGTCTTCGGGCTGCGGACTCTTCCGGATGCTCCACGAGACGGTCCAAGAGGAAGTCGAAGCTTGAGCCTTCGAAGCTCAACAAAAAAAAGGCCCAGAGCCTCCAAAACCCCTAAATTAAGGAATATACCTTAAATTATAGTAGGATCCCTAATATGATTTAAGGTATATTCCTTAACTAAGGGGTGTTGGAGGCTCTGGGGGCTTTTAAAGCCATTGAAAAATACTAGTAAATAAGATACCCTTAAGCCCAATAAGGGAAAATATAAAATGTCCCAAAGCCCTACCTAGAAGAGGGGGCTTTAGGTACGGCCCCCATACAGTAAGAGTGTATATTAGGGCTACTGTTAAGGTCCTACTATATCTATATTATGAATATTATTCAACTATTTCTGAGTGGGGGCCGTACCCAAGGGGGGCTTGGGGTTTAGGTTGAGGGTTTGAGGTTTTGGAGTTTAGGGCGTAGGTTCAAGGATTCAGGGTTTAGATAGGTTTGGGGTTTAGGGCTTACGGGCTTATGGGTTTAAGGGTTTAAGGTTCAGGGCTTGGGGGGGTTTAAGGGCTCATTTGTTAGGGTGTAGGTTCACTAAAAGGGGATAAGGATACGGGTTGAAGAAGGGGCGTAGGGGGATTAAATTTAAAAAAAGGCTCAGGGTTCCGTTAAGGGTTCGATAACATTACTTAAACGGGCCTTCGGAGTAAAAACATCTTGAGAGGGTGCGGGTTCAGTTGAGGGTTCCCATAGGGCTTCCTTCAAGGCGCTTCGGTTTAGTTTTAAGGGTTTTAGGGGTTTAGGGGGCTAGGGTTACTGGAACGGGTAAGGTTTGGGGTCTAGGGTTTAAGGCTGCTCTAAGCGATAGTGTTCACAACAAAGGTTCAGGGTGGCTTTCTTTAAGGGTGTACTGACAAGGTTTGTGTTTCATTTAACGAGTTCTGCTGGGGCTAGGGGCTGAGAGCTTACTTTGAACGGCTTGGGTTCTTCTTGGTTGTACAAGGGGTCATAAACCCCAAAACGTGATCTCGATCCTTGAAAGCCTAACCCAAGCCCCATTCAACAAAGACAGAGAGGAATGGTCATAGTAAGATGATACAATATCACGTTAACAAAGTAGTAAAGAGTGTAACACGCACCTGTACAGTATAAGTTAGAGGAACAGCAAAAATGCAAATAACAGTGACAATGATCGTAACTTTGCCACTATACACCACCAGACTAAAACACAAAGGACTGAAGAGTTATGAACAATGCTGCCTTGCCGCCGTATGAGATGATCCCTCTACAATAACTAGTCTAAAATGCCAAAGCTCTATTCCAACACTGACGGCCCAAGCAGCAATCCCTGTGGCCCTAAATTCCGAAAGAAACAACAACTCTCAGTCTGACCCTGAACCCTAAACCCTGGGGACCCCATTATAGTACCCTATAGTACCCTTGAAGGGGGCCCTTATTATCGAACCCTCTACTGCCCTTAAACGGATCCCTAGCCTCCTTTGTTTTTATGGTGTTTAATATCACCAGACCTTCTTAGGGCCCAACACTCTGCCGCAGGCGCCGTCTTTAAGGCGCCCAACTCGCAGACGACCTCAGTTCTGTCTTCCGGAAGGCGGGTTTGGGAGTTTAGGGCTTGGGGCTTAAGGCTCCTTAGCAAGGATGTGGCCACAGGGTCAGAGGGCATTGGGTTTCGAGTTCGGGTTTATGGGGCATACCTGAAAGCTTTCGTTTATTCATGGCAGCCCCTTAACGAAGCCCTGGAGAGGCTCGCCTTCATTTGGGAGTTTCCGAAAATAGGGAACCCGAATATAGTACCCTAAATAGTAGGGTCCTTCTTGTAAGAACCCCAAAATAAGGTACCCCTAATTTCGGAAACTCCCATTTCTAGCAGGAGATACTTCAAAAAGGAAGAGCAGCCTGTGTCAAGTCGACGATCTCCTAAATTCCCCCTGAATTCGTAGATTTTCGTTGCTGAGCTCATACGCCCAAAAAAGAGAAGAAAACCTTCAGTTGCATAGGAGATAGCATGTTCCCAGAAAGTGTCAAGTGCACTCATTGAGCTACCCAGATATGTGTTCTGCATAAGGGGTCGAGAAAGGAAAACCCTAAGTACCCAAATACTCTGAACCTGCAGAGAGAGAGCGAGAGAGAGAGAGAGAGAGAGAGATAGGGTGTTAAATGACACGAGCCCTAGGACTGTCTTGCACTGTTGAATTTTTTTTAGAGAGAGACAGAGAGAGACAGAGAGAGAGAGAGAGAGGGAGTGTTCTGAGGCCGGTGCCGGGGAGATCATGGCCTCACAGGGATTGGGGGCTTCTGGAGCGCCGGGCTCTCAAACAGGGAGTAAAGGGCTTCTAAGAAGGGTTGTAGAATGCTTCTCATAAGAGTGATATGATTCTGTGCATTTTTCAAGGCTTTCAAGATTTTGCATTTCAAGACTTAGGACTTGTATGGGATCAAGTCTTTGAGAATGCAAGGGTGTACTGCAGCTACATAGCGTTTCCGTAGGACCTCCTCAACCCAAGACCTTCCAACGCCCAACCGCGAAAGCACAAACCCGAAAATGCGGAGGCCTGAAAATCTACATAAAAACTGGGAGAAAGATGGTGGCCCTGGTTCGGTTTAGTGAGTTGCTGGACGATAACTGTCACAACAAATACTACACATAGTGACAATGACAGTCATACAAATAATGCAGGCAATAACGAAAAAGCATCAGACCACTAACAATGATAATAATTGTAAGCCTGCTGGGCATACTAACTGCTAATGATAACAGTAATCATAACAGTAATGAAAACAACTACAAACATGAGTGCATTAACGCTACTATTGTGATGATCGTGATCATAGAAATGATGCGACAATAACAAACACTAATCACAATAAACCAGGACAATAATAACACTACTACAAAATCGTGAGTTTAATTAGAAATAAGTTCCGGACAACAGGTTCGAGGCAACGTGACGGTCCTTTGTGGTTTCCGTTTCAGAGACTCGACGGAAAGATTTCGGGATGCAAAGGTACAGCTTCAGGGTGTGGAGTTGAGGGACTGAGAGTTTAGGCTTTAGTGACGTACGAGTTTCAGAAGACAAGGGACCCCAATATACTCCCTGAGTAGCAACCCCCAAAGAAAGTTCACCAAATTTGTCTCGAAGGGATACTTCCAGTCTGAAGCGACGTGCCGAGAGGCCCCAATGCCATCAGCGAGGTCCTCCTTCTCCTTCTGCTGTCTGGGCACCCCCCTGCCATCGAGGGCAACATGAAAGGGAATGTCTAGAGCAGCTAAGCCTCAACACTTTCGATATTCAGGGTTACATTAACCCTAAGCCCTAAACCATTATAGTGTCTGAGGCACATGAGATTTCAGAAGTACAGGTGCGGTTCAACGGTGGCTGCAAAAACTTCTGCAAGATCTGCTGACTCTGAGTTTACCCTAGACCTTACAGCCATCTTTAAAGCCTCTGAACCTAGCCCAAATCCTACAACTTCATCCGCCAACCGCTGCCAGCGGCGTGAACCCTAAACCCCCAAACCACAAACGCTTAAACTCCTACAGCCTAAACCCCTTAAACACCTGAGCCACAAACCACGAAACCCTAAACCATGCAGCGCTAAACGTACCTCTGGTTAGTGTGGAATGGAAGGATGGTAGTAATAGTAGTTATAATTGTACCCCATTCGTCCATTCCCTACTAACCAAAGGTCAGTTATAGGCCCCAATTTTTTAGCACACACACCCTTATAGATCCCTTATAGTAACCCTTATAGGCCCCTTTATAAGGCCCCCTCCATTCCCTCCTAACCAAAGGTAAGTCTCTTGTGTAGATCCCTTAATTGGGGTTCCTATAAAGTACCCTTAGTAGTATAAGGCCCCAAATTAAGGGATCTACTTGCCTTAGGATTCCTAAGGCCCCTATATTTAAAGTACCCTTCTAGATCCCTTATAGTAACCCTTATAGACCCCTTTCTAACCCTAAAGGCTGGGCCAGCTGCCTGCCGGTAAGTTATACGCCCCTATATTGTAGTACCCTTATAGATCCCTTGTAGTCCCCTTTATAAGACCCCCTCCATTCCCAAAGGTAAGGCTAGCCTGCCCGGATCCAGGATGCTGCTCTTTCCGCCAGCGGAGAGCTCGGCCAAGCGCCGGCGCCTTTAGCGCTGCTGGGCTCAGGGACCCCATCGAAGAAAGGGCTCCCTTAAAGGCATCCATGAGGGCTCCCTTAAAGGGATCCATAAGGGTCTCTTGAGGGCTTCTGTTTAGGCTTATAGGGTTTCACAAAGTGCTCGGATTCGGGGCTTCGAGTTTCGGGGGGGTCCTTAAAGGGTCCTACAAGGCTCCTTTTGCGGCTCCTTTTTTGTTTTAGGGTTTAGGGTTTAGGGTTCCTTTAGACAAGTTGGTGATCCGCCCCCTCCCCTTCCGAAAAAAGTCTCGCAAAGAGGGGGTGAAGGGCTTCTATCGAGTTCGATCCGAAACTCGCGTCAACCCCACGCCGAGCTCAAAACCCCCGAATGCCAAAAGCACCCCAAAAGCACCCCCAAAGCCTGAAAACTACTCGAAAATCCAAACCCAAAACCTTCAAGCCCTAAACCCTAAACCTAAAGCCCTAAAGCCTAAACCCAAAATCTAGAACCCCTAAACCCTAAACCTGAAAACTCTAAGCCCCAAAGGCCCCACAGGTGCCTTCCTGGAGAGTGCCCTTCGGGACCCTGGAAGGGCAGCAGCTGTGCTGGGGCCACGAGGGGCGTCCCGCGCTGGAAGTCCTCACGTGGGTGGTTGTCAAAATTATGGTCCCTTTTTGGGTCCCTAAAAATAATATGGCACCTATTATTTAGGGTCCCCAAAAAGGGACCCTGATTTGGACAACTACCCACATGCTTGGGCATTGTTAATAGGAGCCTTGATGATTAGAATGGAGTTTTTAAGGGTTCCTTATTGTACTTATAGTATAAGGTCCCCCAAAACCATGTTCTGTTTATCAAGGCCCCTATAGTAAGGAGATTCCCACGGAGGTTATCCATCTGCGGGTACTAGAACATTTCTGATGCTCTAGACTCTACAAAGGGTTTAACAGGGTTCTCAGAAGTGTATTGGAGTTTAAGGTTCAGGCAGCATGGGTCCGGGCTTTGGGGCTTAAGCCTTGCGGACCTAAGGGTGAGGATTAAGCTCTACAGTCGAAGTTCAAGAGTTAGGGGTACGCTGAATTCAGCGCTGCTTTTGTCTGCTTGATGGGGCATCGAATTTGGGCTGTCCTCTGAGGAAATAGCACAGGCCCCGTAGCACCTCAAAAGAACCTTGACCGAGCTGTCCATTCATAACTCTGCCCTTGAAATCTTACCCCCAGAAATCAAAAAGCAGCATAAGCTCCTTAACACATATGATTGGGTTGTTTGGTAGAACTATACAAAATTACGAAGGGATATCAAGCCCGAATATTGACCGCATTGCCAGAAATTGTCCATCAGACTGATATTCAAACCGAACGCGGAGCCTGGGTAATTGCTACCAAAAAACGCCTATTGAAGGCCGCACAGGGTCACTCCAATCCACCCCCAAACCTCATTTAAAACCGCTCCGGCCCGGCACGCTTAAATCAAAGACCGCAGCAAAATCCTGTGATCCCAACATGCTCTGAGCCCTAAATTCCTCCCTAAACCCTGAACCCATAAACCCTAAACCTTGAACCCCTAAAACCTAAATCCTAAACCCTAGCCCACAAACCCTAAACCTTCAACCCCTTAACCCTAAACCCTGAACCCATGGCCTTGACCGTGACCGTCCGCGGTGAGCAGCCAGCATCTGACGGCCCTCGCGACTGACTGTTTCTTAGCTTCGGGCTGTAGGGTTTAGGGTTTAGGGTTTAGGTATAGGATTTTTTCTTAAGTTAGGTTGAGGTAAAGGGTTTAGGGTTTTGGGTCCGGGCAAAAGGGTTGAGGGTCCAGGTTCAATAACCTCATAGTAACGCCGAGTTACAGTAGCCCTTACAGTAAACCAAAAGGAAGCCTTAGAGGAAAAGGAGCTGTACAGTTTCTTTAACTTCGAAGGTTTATGTACATAGGATGGTTGATGGTTGAGGCACCTTGGTTTAGGCCCTGAACAAAACAACCCCGAGGAGGAAAGCATCGGAAGTTAAGCTGAAAGAAGGGTAGGGGGTCATAGGGGATGGGCTTGCAGAAGGTACAGTTTGGCCCTTTGGTATAGCTTCGTAAAGTAGTACAAGTAGCCGGTCAAGCTTGCAGAGCACTAAGTATCGGTCGCCCCAAACCCTAAGCCCTTCTATCTATAGCCCCTTTAAGTAGCTGGGTACGAACTGTGTGGATTTCGGCCCAGTAGTTCATTCCGTTAGCCCAACACCGTCAGAAGCTTCCATGGCTATAAGTCGGGTCTCTAGGGGCTTCGACAGTGCGAGGTGTGAAGTCCCAGGGTGTTGGGCTTGGAATGAGGGATTGTAGGGATTTAAGGTACAAGGTTTCGGGGTTCAATGTGCTCTTGCTCAGTAGAGCGAGGGGAGCTATCCATATGATACTTAATACTACAGTCTATGTAGATATACACACACACTTTCTATCTACACAAATGTGCATAAACCTCATGGGATATTGATACGAATGCTACATGTAGTGAAAGATTTCAACCGCACCAGTAAACTGTTGAGCTATACTGAAGTATTCTCATCTATATTAACAGCAATGGCAGTGGTGACACATCGTGGAAGCTGGAGGCATTGACTAGTAACACTGCAGCAGCCATAGTGCTCGTCGACAACGTCGCAGCTGCAAGAGTCTGTCTTGGCCGCTTGACTTTTGAATCTCAGTCTGATGCTGGTAAGCGGGTCTTGTGCTCCTCCGAATCGCCAATATTCCCGATCGAAGTGGTCCTAGCCCGCTACCTGAAGCCACGAGCTTGCACTGCGCTCTGCATCCAAAGCCCGATCTGTCAGCCCCAATCGTCCAAGAGCGTCCCCATGTCGCCAGGCTACGACCGTCCGTCTTGTCTCAATCTCCTGGAAGTCTTCGACATCTCCACTGCCACGTAGTTGAAACAAGTCACTAAAGCCATGGCGATGAACACATGGAAAGCAGCTGCGTAGCTCCCAGTTGCAGATCGCAGCTTACCTCTTCAGCCCAGAAAGGCTACTATGCCAATATACTAGGGTTTATCCCCAAACCCGAAACCCCTAAATCCTAACCCCTAAACTAGTTATAGCGTTTACTGGACACCGGAAAGGTGACTGCAATGAGGCCTAGCTTCCTGTGATGAGTGTGCCGCAGAAGCCGCCCAGGACTTGAAAGAGCATCAGAAAGGCCTGGAGTTTGCTGAACTCTGCCATCTTGCCAAACATTTTCGCCGGCTTTGCCAGGAGCACCGAGTAAGAGGCCCCGAAACCCAGGCCATAAATGATAGTAAATGCCAGGAGTTGCGAGTGGTTGGACGTTACCTCAACGCCCCCGGATGCGAAATCCAACGGCAGCAGCGTGCCGAGCACAAGCAGCAAGCAGCTCACTGCACCAGTAAGGATCTGTCAGTTTGTTTAGGGTTTTGGGTTGGAAAAATCAGGCGTTAACGATAAGGACTCCAAAACAGGGCATAATAGCCTTGAGAACTGCCCACCTGTCTTGAGTCCATAGCGGCACCGGCGATGAGCTTGCCAGCACTTGAGGCTTGAAACACAATCCTATACTGAGCTTAGAACCCTCGCAAAAATTCTAATCTCAGCTGTTTCTTAGGGATTATAATAACCAAAAATTAAAAATATTCCTAAGTACCCCGAAGAATCGAGGTGTAGAGGCCGCAGACTTGCACACCCATGCCCACGTCCTTCTGCAAATACAGCACCAGGCTGTTGATCAAGGCCATGATAATGTACCTCGACTTCCCAAACTTTCGACCAGGAACCCTAAACCCTAAAAACCCTAAATTCTGAACCCTAAACCAGCAGCTTTGACCACGGCACAACTCGCAGAAGGACATGGAAGCAAAGTGCCAAACAACGCCAAGTCGAAGGCACTGCTGGAAGCTCATTGGCAAATGATCGTGGTCGTCGCCTTCCCTGTCACCTACTACAGGGGCCTTAATAACTAGAATATGGCTTTGGGTCCCATGATACTATACATATGTTAAAAAACTCAACGTAGTATTGGTAATTATTTAAGCCCTGTATGATACGGGCTTATCTCACAGGCTTTTTTTGGATTCTTCGGGCCCAAGTCCCTGCAGTAGGGTACATAGGTTCAAGGTCTAGGACTTAAGGCTTTGGGTTTAAGGGATTTGAGCTTTTTTTGAGCTCCTTTTTCCCAGAGGCTGCAAGTCTGCGACTTCTAAGAAGGCCAAGAAAGGCCAGGAGTGACGGCGGGATTTTAGGGTATAGGGCCTATGGGCATTTAGAATGCAAATCCCAGATCCTGGAATCTCCGTATCGCCGCCAAGGATAGGCCAAGCACCTCCCGGCGCCTTCTTCTACTACTCTAGTACTACTGTAGCACTGCTTTTGTACTACTATCGTCGTACCCAGTCGAACGTGTACGACCTGCACCTGAAAAGAAAACTGGAAGTACCCCTACGAATTTGGGGAGCCCGCGGATCACCTCGCAGACTTTCCAGCTGGCGGAGCTGCTCCCGAGATCTGAGGAGGGGTCCATCGCGGAGCACCAAGCAAGCCAAAGGCACTGCGAGTAGGGCCTTTGGGTCTAGGATCGTAGGGTTTCGGGTTTAGGATGGTAGGGTTTTTCGGTCTTAGGATGGTAGGGTTTTGGGCGTAGGATCGTAGGGTTTCGGGTTTAGGATGGTAGGGTTTCGGTCTTAGGATGGCAGGGCCTTTGGGTTTGGAAGGGTAGGGTTTTGGGTTGAGGATGGTAGGGTTTGAGGTGTAGAGTTTAGGATGGTTTTCCAAACCCTCAACCCTACTGGAAACCCTGTAGGACAACCTGAACCCTGAACCCTAAATCGCTTAGGATGGTTTGGGGCGCAGGGCTGGCGACCACAACCGAAACTCAAGAAACGTGCCGTCTGAACTGCTGTGGCTGAGCGGCTGTCAAGCAAGGGCCGAGCAAGCAGGCAACTCGCCAACCATGATGGTGAATGAGAGTCGCTATGGCTGGCGGGAAGCACACACCAGCCATACTAAAGGCCGTTGCCATGATGGAGATCGCGAGTGCTCTTTGCTGCTCGAACCATGACGTCAGGAAGACGGTGCCAGTGGCAATGCTGCTGAGGTCGTAGCAGAGGCCATAGACACCATGAAGACAAGCCAAGCACCATAAGCTCGGAGCCACAGAATACAGGGCCGAGGACACCACAAGAGCGATCGCACCTGTCCGTAGGCAAGTTGCGCACCCCAAGCTATCCACGGCATAGCCACCGGGAATAGTAAAAATGCCTTTCACGAGATAGAAGCTGGAGGGAAGCCATGAGACGTGAAATTGATCCGTGTGAAACCTTGGTTCGATTATAACACACACACACACACACACACACACACACATATATATATATATATATATGTAATACTGCTACTGCTACTGCTACTGCTACTGCTGCTGCTACTGCTACTGCTAAACTGCTACTGCTATAGTATGATAATACTGTCATAGTATTAGAAGAACAATATGAAAATGCGATAATCCGATCATCGTCATATATGGTACTTGCTGGCTGCGTACCACGACAGGGAAAGCACCAAACTAGGCGCCAAAAGTTTCAGTCGGTCGGCCCAGGAACTCCTGCATGATTGCCGGAAGGAGGACCGGCGGTGTGTGGTACGTCACCCCAGCGGTGACGAAGAAAAAGACCCAAATGGAAAACATCTGCCTGGGTTGGCCTTTAAACACCCTGAAAATTATTTACATATAGGGTCCCTTATAAACCCAAATAAGGAAAATAAAACATGTCCCAAAATCAAACCTAGCTGCTTCCAATGCAGTACAAGCTCAGACTTCTGAAGCGAAGCAGGAATGCAGGAGCACTTGCAGTCTGTGGACAAGGCATCTTCAGCAAGAGCCATTGCTCGGCAGAAACCAACGGTGGACAACTGTATGACTTTATGTCTTAGGGTGCTGGTTTGGTTGCCTTACCCTGCTGGTCCATCTTGCTTAGCTGCTCGGTGAGGGGGTCGCTCAGAATGCCGAAATGCCGCGGACGTAGGTCTGGTCTCTAGAGTAGCAGGTGCAAATCACTGAGAAAAGCTGCAGCACTACTGTAACGAATGTTAAACCCTAGGCGATGCTATACCCAAGCCCGAGCGCACTAAACCTGGAATCCTCATGCAGCAGAAGAGTGGGGTTGCATAGTTTCGGGATTGCCGCCGGCCTTCTATGGCAGTCACTATGCATGTTCTGGCATCAGTTTTCTTGAGAATGATGCATCAGAGTCACATGCTGAGTCTGCCAAGGAGCTCTTAAACCAGCCCCCGTGCCACAGGTGTACGTGTCAGGAACTCACATATTGGAGTACCATTGTAGTTCCGTCTTGCAGCTTCCGGCAACTGTGGCTGTGACCGAAACAGAACAGGTAAACCCTAAACCCCTGAACCCTAACGAAAATGAAGAAAACCTTTGATTTCAAGCCCTCGGCCTCTCCACCAAGCTCTCAACCCTGAACTAACAGAGACGCCTGAATAATCAAGCTAGTGACTTAGCAACTAAGACTCTACTGGTTCTGTCCATGCTACATCCAGGACACCGAAAGACTTATCAGACCGGCACATTCCAGCAAAAACCCCTTATGGATGTCAGACACGAAGCCCTGAACCCAAACCCCCAACCTTAAGTCCGAGATCCTCAGCCCTAAACCCTAAACCGCTAACTCCGGAACCAACAGCCAAGAACCCTAAACCCTAAACCGGCCTCCTACAGACCTTCCTGTGGGCGAGGGCGAGAGCGACCGCTCTCCCCGTCTTGGGGAGGCAGACCTGGGAGAAGAGAGTAAACTAAAACATGACATAATATGATATATTCAATCTGTTTCACTATGACAGAACAGCGAAAACATGACATGACATAACATGATATAGAGCACAATATTGTACGAAGCGGTATAGGAGAAAACAGGGGGTGAGGCTCTTGGGCTAACGGCCTTTTCGGAGGAAGGCCCGTTAGGTCTGTGCAATGATAAGGATGGCGGTAAAACAGGGGCCTACTTGACTATCCATTTTTGAGGGCTCCCTGTTCAACTTATCGTACAATATACTACTATTTTGCGGGGCTCCTTGTTATCATTCTAGGTATAATATACCCCCTTAACGGAACCCTGAAGAGGATACGGAACCCTGAAGAGGATACTACGCTTCTGAAGTCGTCCGACGTCTATCCTAAGCCCGCCGCCGCGAGGAGCTTGATTGGCGACTGGCTGCCGAACCTGCTGGACGGGATATACCCAGGAAAAACAAGCGCCTTAAGAAGTAGAATAGGTATTAAAGAAATGTGGAAATAGTAAGCAGAATTATGAAAGCCCACTCATGGTTTTTGGTTCCGGGAGTATGGACCAGGCGAGGAACACTGAAAAGGACGGTCGCGTTTCGACCGTCGTTGATGCGAGTCGCAACCTTCGTTGAGCAAGTTGAAGGTGGCAGGGTTGGATTACCTCCAGCCCTGCGCTGCAGCACCCAGCAGCGTAACAAACTGGGCTTGCGCGCCAATTGAAGAGGTGAGGGGCTCGTCAGTAAGACTTTCCCGACAACCATCAGAGAGCCCGGTGAAAAGAAAAAGACAGAGCGGAAGTACGCCAATCGTGAACATGATCATGGGACATGGAACCGTTCTCTGTGTCCGTGTGTAGGGCTTGGCTTTCTCATACAGTAACATAGGGGCCTCAGTAGTTGGAATAAAGTTTTGAACGATATTATCCCATAGTTGAAATAATAAGGAACCCCCAAGATAGTGTTGGTAGTTACTGAGGCTCCTATATTAGCTTATCCCATAATTAGAATCATAAGGAACCCCCAAGATAGTGTTGGTAATTACTGAGGCTCCTACATTAGCTTCAGGGGCTCCTTCAGTCTTGGCGCTCTGGCTCTTCAGGTGCGGCCTCTCTGATGTTTGGAGAGGGGGGGTCTCCGGAACTGCAACACAGCATTTTATAGTTACATTGTAACTTTCTTTTTTTTATTATTCCACGAGGTTTATGGATTTGAATATGTATAACCACCATTTCAGCATTTCGGGTTGCATCAGGGGTATGGCTGGAATTCGATTTTAACTCCGGATTTATATCCATGGTACTCCGGAATCAGTAGGACGATCATCTGGTTCTACTTGCTTGGTTCCAACTGCATCACAAGCTTGTGGACTTTGCCAATGGAGAAACCAGATTCTTCACAGAGCAAACGAACTATTTAACTATTTGCCATGTACTGGCATAGGCGGAGGGTTCAAGTTCAGGCAAGTGCATGTCATTCATGTGGCCTGGCCAGCGGAAGAACTACAAGTATAGCATCCGGCTCTCAATCCGCAATCGGATCCCCTGAACCCTAAACCCCTACCGTATTAATCATTCGGGTTCCTGATTTGGTGACACCCCAGAAAACAGGGCAGATCCTTTTCCGTCAATGCTTCATGGAATAATGATAGGGTCGCTGCAATAATTACCCACCTCTACATGAGGTGCCTCTTGAAACTAAGCACCCGGAGGCCCTTATACTCCGTATACGTTTACCCTGAAACCTTGAAACCCTAATTCCGGAAACGTTAAACTCCTTACATACCCCGAAGAACCCAAAATCTGATACCCCTAACCCGAACCCCGAGACCGCAACCCTAAACCGCTAACCAGTAAAAACCAAAGCCCGAAACGTTAAGACTTTAATCCCTTCTGTGAGGCCTTCCCTGCGGAACCCCGCAACCCTAATAAACCCTCTACTTTCGGCCCCAGTACCACAACGCTATACCCGAAACCCTAAACCCCTAAACTGGAAACCCTAAACCCTTAAACCCTAAACCCCTGAAGCCCTCCTCCCTCAAACCCCTAAACTCTAAAGCCCTAAGCCCCTTTTAAACCTCTGCTAACACCCTAAACCCTAGTCCTACTCGTCCACTTTGGGCCTGCCGGGGGAAGGGCTACCAGGCCGTTCGGCGTGGACGATTGCAGGGCCTGAGCTACGAAGGGGGATACCACAAACTAAATCATGCTATAAATCATACTATAATATAATATAATGTATCATAAACTAAAGCATGCTATAACTGATTATGATATAGTATACTATGAATTGAAATAACATACTATAATAAACTGTAACATATTCTATGATATACTGAGCTACGAGGTGGATCGGATCTTGGCGTTTGGAGTTTGGAGTTCGTGGGTTAGGTATGGCTTAAGGACTGAGGGGTTTAGGGTGTAGTAGTTCTGGTTCAGAATTACAGGCTTTTCAGGGTTTTGGGTTTAGGGATTAGGTTGAGGAGTCTACCGGGCTTAGGGCGACAGCGAATCCTCGACCAACGCGACGCGAACACGAGATTCCGAAAACCCTGAAGCCCAACCCGCCTAAACGCTACACCCTACACCCCAAACCCTAAACCCCTAAAACCCTAAACCCTAAACCCCTAAACCCCTAAACCCCTAAACCCTAAACCCCTAAACCCCTAAACCCATCAACCCCTAAACCCCTAAACCCCCCTAAACCCCTCTAAACTCCTCAACCCCTAAACCCCTAAACCCCCCTAAACCCCTAAACCCCTAAACCCCTAAACCCTAAACCCCTAAACCCCTAAACCCCTAAACCCCTAAACCCCTAAACCCCTAAACCCCTAAACCCTAAACCCCTAAACCCCTAAACCCCTAAACCCTAAACCCTAAACCCTAAACCCCTAAACCCCTAACCCCTAAAACCCCTAAACCCTAAACCCTAACCCCTAAACCCCTAAACCCCTAAACCCCTAAACCCTAAACCCCTAAACCCCTAAACCCCTAAACCCTAAACCCCTAAACCCCTAAACCCCTAAACCCCTAAACCCTAAACCCCTAAACCCTGAACCCCGGACCCCCTGGGCAAGGAACCGCGAAGAGCTCGCGGGCAGATCCGCGATACTTCGGCGCCACCTTGCACCCAGAAAGCCTCTACACAGGTTTAGGGCACACAACTAGAACAGGACTATGGTAGAATTACATTTGGGGACTGTAAGGAATACAAACATACAAACATTGCTAGGTAACTATTCCGAAAAAAGCCCTGAAGCCTAAAGAACCCTGCACTCCAAGCCTAAAGCCCAGAACAATTACCTGCCTATAATGCTGCTGATGGATCTCCAGCAGCTTGAAGGGATGACGCTGTTGCTGTGGAGATGGTATACAGAGGCCAGAATAAGTGGACTGGGTCGTTGGGCCCTGTAAACCCTAAACCTTACTTGTCCAGTATCCCAGAGGATTTAAAGGTTAACCTTTGGAATTATGAAGGATTAATGGTTACCTCATTTACTCCTAAGAAATCCTAAACTTATAGATATTCGAGCAACTTGCTGACTGATGTTATTCATTATGAGAGTCCCTTGGGGGTGGCTTCTCATTTGATGAAGAAACTCTCACCTGAAGAGACTGGAGCTTTGAGCGTCTGCTTTTTTTTTTGGGGGGGGGGGGTTCGGATTCAGTTGTTTGGGGTTCCAGGGCCCAGGGCCTGAACCTTCTCCATCCTTAGTTGAATGCTCGTGCTTCAAGGTTTGGTGCAAGGCTCAGGCTCGGAATAGATGGCGTTGCGAAAATTGACAAGTGAGAAACATACATCTGCACCTCGGGTTCAACCGCCTAGGACGCACAACCTACGGCCTGCTCAGCAAGCCGTCGTTAAGTGCGCAGGCCTATAGGCTAGGACCCA